GTAAAATTGGAAGGAGGGAGGGGTTGGAAATCCATGTTGGAGCATGTTCTTTAAAATTTTTCCTTGGCAATCTCTAATGAGTCACTCACCGTGAAGGTCTCTATTGTTAACTCAAACTCAGGCTTTACCTCAGATAGTGTTAGGAGGTCCACATTAAAGCATCCTTCCTCGGTACCCCCGGACAAATAGCTCCACCATGAGCTCCAATTGGGTCTTAGGAATCACTTATGGAAGTAAACCTTCTTGGTATGGGGAGCATCTTGATATCCCATGAGTATGGTTGTTCACCCTTTCCATGTTCGGGACGTGGGCAAAATTAGACGATTTAATCTCAAGTTCCATTACAGCTTCCTTAGGATTGTTCTTTGTGTTTCTTGGAAGACTTCTGGCCAATTCTTGAGTCTTTTAAAGCTCTAGAAGGAAGCTAAATCCCGCTCCATGTTCATAAGAGTCACCTCTTAGCCTAAACTATACGCATGTAGCTCGTCAATTGTTAAGCATTCCAAGGCAATAGATGGTGCATTTTGCTCTTTGAACATAGGTCGTTTATCAAATCCTGGTGGTGGGGAATTCGATTTCCTTGAACAATTAGGATTGGGTGGAGCCTCACCATCCCTATGCACATCATGAAAATACGGTGCGTTGGTCGATGTTATCTTTGGGTAATTGGCAGAAATTTTACCTACTGGGAGAGGCCATTGTCCTGCCGGTAGTTGGCTCTAAGCTCAATAATTGATCGAAGGGAGATTCTCAAATTTCTTATAGGTGTTAGAATGATATGGTGATCATGAGTTCTGGTACCCAAAGCTAAGGCAATTGAAATTATGAGCCCGCGGGTAGCGAGTGATCACAAACTTGACCTCCTCGATTGAAGTATCATCTATAGCCATGCAATTGTTCCATCATATCCATCCTTGTCGCACTGATCGCAAACAAAGAGTCGTGTGGTTTGGGTGTTTTGGCTCATCTTGAGTGCTTGCAACTCCTTAGCAACAAAAAGGATTTGCTATGCTATGCCGGCAGTTAGTCATCTGGTCCTTGTATAATTTTTATTGTTGCAAGAGTAGTCCTCATTGAATAGTTTTGAGACTTGGTATTGATTGACGCATAATGCTCGAGAGCGCGTTGAGCTGTCATTTGAGACACTTCACATTCGGCAACTTAATTCACCATTACCGTGGTGTTAAGTTCCAGGGCCTTTCCAAAGATATCGGACACTTGTTTTTGTGCGAACCCTTGATGAGGGCAAGGACGAAGAAAGCCTTGATAGCGCTCTCACACTTTATACAACGACTCAAGAAACCGTTCCCTAAATTGAGGGATTTGGTCTCTTAGCTTGTCAATTTTCTGTGGAGGGAAGAAATCCTCAATGAAGGCCTCGACCAATGCCTCCCACATACGGAATGATCCATGTGGTTTGTGACATAGCCAGCTCTTTGCCTTTCCCCAAAGAAAGAAATGGAAGAGACTTAGTAGTATTGCATCGGCCTCCACGCCTGGCTGATGTCAAGAATGACATATCTCCATAAATGTTTTTATATTATCGACCTGATTCTAGTTGTCGCGGTCCACAAAATGTCCAATATTCTCGACCATATGGATCATCGAATTTAGGCACATTGACCTGAGGTAGGATGATGCTGGAATCAATGTTCACATCTTAAGGCCTTGTATACTCGTAGAGAGTTTGTTCGGCCATACCTCTAGTTGATGGGGTGAGGGAGAGGAGATACTCTCGGCTTTCAAACCTCCATCAAAGAGGGGTTTGGAGTGAAGATCAATAAACAACTTCTTCTTTCTCATTCTCTTTCTTCAAGGAGACATCCTCTAGGATCAGAAGTACCACTCATATACTCATGACCTTAGGAAAGTCTTTTCTATCTAATCTTATTGAATTTGGCCCTGGTTTATGAAGGGCTAATGCAAATGAAAGGGATCGAGTTCTAGAAGCAGAACGACCCCCTCTAAAACTGCCTCCACCTATGACAAAAAATTGAAGAATTTTTTTTACTCCGATTCCCATTTTAGGAGTCACAACACCTGGTCCCTAGACTCCATCCACACCATACGACACATAAACACAAAAAGAAAATAGAAAATTAAAACGAAAAATGAAATAAACACACAGGAAAAACTGGCGCTCTGGCCACCATTTTAGGGAAGAAAATCAGTGCTCTAACAGTTGAATCTGCCGAAACTACTTTTGACTCAAAACATAAAAATTAAACATGTACAGAAAAAGATCCAAATCTTACCTCGTTCCCTTTTCCTAAGCATGCAAGATGTCCAGATAACAATACCAAAATTGATCCGTTGTAGACAAAACCAAATTTTCCTGGCCCTGGTGCCATGAATGCATTTCCCTAGGATCTCTCGCAAAACCCTTACTTCGGAAGAGATGTATGGTTTTATTGAAGAAGAGATCGGGTTTATGAGGTTGAGGTTCCTCAGGTTTTGCAGAACGTAATAGTTCAAATATTTAAGTAGTGCATAAAAGTAAATCCTAAGCTGCTGGACGAGTGAGAAATTAGAGAGGGAAGGCGTTGCATAGGCAAGTCCCCTAGGTCTCCTAGCTATGCATCCCTCAATGATCGATAGCATACAAGATACCGATTTCTTATTTCATTAGATGACACCTTGTGTCGAATTATTTACCCAAACTAATGGGAGACAAGGACTCTTCGCATTTCTCCTTAGAGGCGTTACGCCATTCGATCGAGTACGGCTGTTATTTTTAGTCTCGTCCTAAATTACTTGGATTTCGCCCCTTGCACTTTGAAGGAGTGCAAGGTCGACCCTAGATCTCATTCGAATAGACAAATAAAAAAATAAAGAAAATCAAACATCACACATATGAAATAAACACAATCGTATGTTAACCCAGATTATCGAGTTTACATGGTAAGAACCCTAGCGTTCACATACTTACGTAACTAAGGAACTTAGACAACCATGAGGAGGGGTTTCTAGGTGTTCATCGATTGAAACAAATACACCAAAACTCCCATAGGAAACGATGCTTGTGACAGAGAAAACAAGCCCAAGGCGTCGTTTCTCTCTCATAGTGTTAGAAACAAGGTTTCTAACGTGATTGGGAATTAGGAATTTAGCTAGATCAATTAGGGATAGATCTAGCTAGGAATTGGGAATTGGAATAATTGAGAAGAAGGGAGGGGAAGGGGCTGCTGCTGTCGCAGCTATGGGGAAAGAAGAGAGGGAGAGGTTCGGCGCAAATGAGAGGGGAAAGAGGGAGGGTTTAGGTTTAGAATTTTTATTAACTGTTTGCTTAATGAAAAATAATGCCCTAGTACAGATTATATAATCCGCCTAATCCCTATCAACTACCCAACTAATCAAACATAACAATCAACTCCCTGTTTATTCCCGAATACCCCAAATAATACCCCAAACCTTAAAAACCGACAATAATTCGAATTAATAAAAAACGACAATGAATGTGTTTCCCACATCCCCGCTTCCTTCGAAAACAACCTTGTCCCCAAGGTTGTCCCTCTAGCTCACTAGGCCTCCTCCTCGCCATTTCCGACGTCCTCGACCTCATCTTCTGCTTCATCTTCCCAGCGTCCGACTAACATCATCAAATCCGGCTTCAGGCACTGATGTCCGATGGTGAACCGGCCATCACAATTTAAGCACTTGCCTTCCCACCTCTTCTGCTCAATCTCGGCCGGCGACAGTCGCACGAAACCTTTTGGTATGGCCCGCGGTCCCATCCTAGCCACCGGAGCAGGACCTCCACCGCCCACGTTAGCCCCAGTCGAGCCTCCCCCTGGAGCCCCTCCTGTGCCGCCACTGCTCCCGCCGCTTCCTCCTCCTCCACTCGGCTTCGAGAAGCGGCCATCCTCCAGCTAGCCAGTTCTTCCTCCTTATGACCTGCAAGACGAAAAGCAGTTTTCAAGGAATCGGGCTCGAACACTCTGACTGCCGCTGCTATCTCGGGCTTGAGACCCGCCATGCACAACCCCACCAAGGTGTCCTCCGAGACTCCTTTACACTGGTTTCCCAACTTGAAGAACTTTGAACGCTATTCAGCCACCGTGCCGGTCTGCTTCAGCTTCGCCAACTACTCCGGAGCCCGCCCATCTGACTTCCCAAACTGATAGCGGAGCTCTTCCTGAAACATAGGCCAGGTGATCAAGGTTGATGCGGCTGCGTAGGATCTCTCCATCCACTCCCACCACTGGAGTGCATCTCCCTCCAAATAAAACGATGCCAGATAGGCCTTCCTTTCCTCCGGAATTGGGTGATTTCTAAACCACCTCTCAACTGCATACAACCACAGGCCTGCATCCTCTTGCCCATTGAATTTGGGGAACTCAATGGTAGGAGGCTTAGCTCGAAAAACTACGCCATCCATTCCATCACAGTTCATATAGTGGGACCCATACCTGTCATTTCCTGGAGTCCTCCACGGCTGCCCAAAGGATGAACACTACATCCGGCTTGGATTCCCATGCCCATAATCACCCGGGTAGCTGCCTGGAATGTTCGGGTACCCTCCTAGAGCGTGAGGCGCCCCGTACTGACCCTCCCAGCCAACTGATGCCCTGCTGTCCATCCTCCTGGTCGGCTGAGCAGTCGGACTCGATCGATGTCCGGTCCGACCCACCTCGGGTCGACCCGTTCCGGACCGACCCGGCTCGGTTCGGCTCACCTCAGTTCGATCAGCGTCGGCCCGTCCGATCCCAGCTTGACCGGTATCGTTTCGACCCGCCTCGACCCAGTCCGCAGCGGTCCGCCCAACAAGAGCCGACCCCCCTTGTCCCATCTGGTCGGCGGCCCTCCTCGGCCCACCAGGCCCTCTCTGGTCCATCTCCGGTTCAGCCCACTTGGCATGTTGATCTGCCAGGCCCAGTTTGTCATACTCGGGCCCATCTTCCAACTCCAACCACCCCAGCCCGTTATGGACCTTTGTGTAGTGACCCAACAGCCTGGGCCCATTATTCCTGGGCGGCCCGTCTGTGTCATAACCAGGCATCTTAGCCTTCCCTTTTCGGGCCACAATCTCTTGGGCCGTAGATGTCGGTAACAGACCCGGGCCCACCCCTAACCCTGCATGCACTGGGCCTGCCCCTACTCCGCCTCCTCCCGTTCCCGGCCCGAACTCGGCCGCAGTTAGCGCCGCCGGCGCCGTCTCCGCCGCCACCATCGCCGCGCCCTGGCCGGCGACCGCCGCCCCCTGCGCCGCCGATCGCGCCGCCAAGGGCGCTGCCGCCGCCGACCGCCAGCTCGGCCGGGCTCGGCGTTCCCCCAGCTCCGATCTTCTTCTCCTGCAGCGAGGCTACCGCTCGCATCAGATCCTCCAACCTCTGACGGAGATCATCAGCATCCGCCTTCGACTCCACCTGCACTCTTGCCAGGCCATCTTCGAGCTGAGCCAGTGCATCAGAGTGCTCACGCACCACCTCCTTGATCGCCTCCAGTTCAGTCTCATCCTCCACCCTTCCATTGAGCCCCATGTTGCTCGCCTCGGTGGTTTCCTCGGCTTCCCGCGCAGCCTTCTCTGCTGCCTTTATCGATTTTGTCGACACCATCGCTGTTTGCCCTGGTTCAAGAGCTCAAAGAACTCACTTTCGAACTTTGCTCTGATACCAGATGTTAGAAACAAGGTTTCTAACATGATTGGGGATTGGGAATTTAGCTAGATCAATTAGGGATAGATCTAGCTAGGAATTGGGAATTGGAATAATTGAGAAGAAGGGAGGGGAAAGGGGCTGCTGCTGTCGCAGCTATGGGGAAAGAAGAGAGGGAGAGGGTCGGCGCAGATGAGAGGGGAAAGAGGGAGAGTTTAGGTTTAGAATTTTTATTAACTGTTTTCTTAATGAAAAATAATGCCCTAGTACAGATTATATAATCCGCCTAATTCCTATCAACTACCCAACTAATTAAACATAACAATCAACTCCCTATTTATTCCCGAATACCCCAAATAGTACCCCCAAACCTTAAAAACCGACAATAATCTGAATTAATAAAAAACGACAATTAATGTGTTTCCCACACATAGGTTGGTCTCGTTCTGAGCCACGAGGGGTGCTTTGACAGCATAGTAATGATTCTTTCTTGACTTCTCATATGCTTCCTATATTTCCTATCTCTAGGGACCTAATTATCGGCCTTTGATTAGGCTTTCTAAGGAGATAAACTTGAGGTCTCGGGTGGCGTTTCTTCCAGGTGTCTTTTCTTCAAATCCCAACTCCAAAAGCTTGATCTCGATGTCCCATATGGCTTCCTAGTGGTTCACTAGTCTACTTTGACTTAAAAATGCACAAAACGCTATCAAAAGCATATCGACCATATACAATCAATCCTAGGATTGTTAGAACACACTTGAAGCAATCATGACATAAATTCAAGGTATTATGACACTAATGATGGGAAATGTATTCACTTTGAGTCACAATACGAGGGTCTAGAATATATACTTTCACGTGTCACCAATGGTGAAGACCAAAAAAATTTGGGTTATTCACCACCCTGGATTGTATATGTTCCCTTAAGGGTTTCCTAGCCCGAGCATTTTCCACAAAGCTACATGTTTCTTGTAGTGTGGTGGCTTGTGTCATTTTCAGGAAGTCCTCTTGTAGGTGGTATGTTTCACCATGCCACTCACACTACATAAGCTGAGTAAGGTCTATCTATTAGCATTTTGAGTATCAATCCAAGTTCTTCCTTATAATCAACCCTTCTACCTTCACTTCAAGTGATATCCACCAGTAATACTCTGTCTTGCTTCATCCCGTTGCATTATATGCCTACACACTAATCACTTCCACGTGAAGCCATGTCTTCAAATAGTTTATTCATCTAGGGTAGAGTCTTGTTCAGCATAGCCTCTAGGCATAGCAAATCGTTGATGAGTTTTATGTCATCCTAGAAGAATCTATGGTAGAAGAGAGACATATGGTATCTATCCATAAAGTTGTGATGTGGGCATTTGAGTAGAAGACTAGTAAACCTATTCTAGGCATCATGCAAGGTTTCATCATTATCTTGGGTGAAGGTGATGATTGACTGCCGAAGCTGAGCAATCTTGAATGGAAGTAGCACGTCATGAACTTCTCCATCAGATTTTTTCGCGAGATAATAGGCAATGGAGGTTGGTTTGTGAGCTACTTCTTGGCCAGTCTAGCCATGGAGAAATTGAAGGGCTGCAGTCTAAGGGTACCTTAAGTAACGCCAATCATCTTGATCCCATCTGTAAGTTACCAGAATCATTGGGTTTACTCATGGAGTTCCTCTTTCTTCATGTCGTGGAACTATATGTAACTCTGGATTTTGAGATCACACTAGTTTTGATCTCAAAGTTTTTTTTTTTTGCAGCAATGCAAGGATGCATGATGCTGGATTAGATGTCATTTATATTTTTGGTAAGGCAATAACCCATACTCCTCTCAACATTCAATTCTGGTTGTTCTCTCTAGGTCATGGTGATGACTCTTGCCGCAACAAAGTCTCTGGGTTTTATTGGAGAAAGAGCTCGTTTGACATATATCTCTAATCTCATATTGAGAAGGGTCACGTTAAGATGTTATCAAGGGGCCATTTGGATGTAGGATTGTATTGAGAGATTTGTGAGAGATTTTAAAACAATCTCTCATTATGCAGGATTTTAAAACAATCCGACGTTTGGGAATGATGAAGAATTATGTGATTAGTGATTTTAAAAACCCTCATCTATGGGTTTTAGAAATAGATGTTGGCCATCAGCTATTTCACAATCCCTCGTTCTTATTCATAATTTCCAAACCTTGCCCCTCAACATTCACTTTCGTTCTTCTCCCTTCTTGTTTCTTCTTCCACCTCTATCCCAGCTCGTCTTCAACGTCGACTTCTCCCTTCCAGTCACCTTGTTGCATCACCTTCCTCACCCACTTTGCTGCGCCGCTGGAGATATGGGTTTACGGTGGGGAGACGATGTCAATTATAGGTTTGAAAACCCCTAATCGTGTGTCCACATAAAAGTCATTGACGAATAGGAAGACAAATGCTTATTCTGGGTTCTGGGTTCGGGCGATAAAGAAAAAGGAGGAGGAAAGAAGTTGATGAATATGGCGGCATGGCTGACCTTGCTTCTGATCGGTGATAGCGAATCTAGACCTAAGAAGTCGTCGCGGAAGAGGATCTGTTGTCGAAATCGATGGCTTTTGCATCTCCCGACCAACCACTCTCAGATTGAAATCGAATCAAAAAATCCGTTGCCACTCCCGTCGTCTATCTAATTTCGTCCATAAATTTGCTCCTGTTGCTTATCACCGGCGGTATCCATCAAGCTAGGAACAACTTGTCCTCTTCATTATCAATGTTGGTTTCGAACCTTGTATCCTTTAGTGGTACTTCTTTTCTCCTCTTCTTCTCCCGGTCGCTATCACATCATCAAAACAAATGGTGGTGGCAGAGGTCAAATGGCGAAGAAGAATAAATAACATACGAACTAGGGAACTGGGAAGGAATTGGGAAAGGAGGAGGAATAAGGGTAAATTAGTATTTTTGAGTGCTTATCTAAAAACCCTTGTTCATTTCCAAACACATTATTTATTACAAATCCTACATATAAATTCCTAGGTTTTTAAATGAAGGATTTAGATTAACATCCCTCATTATTAAAATCACTCATCCAAACGACCCCCTAGTGGTAATAGGTCTCCCGGTTGGCTATGGGTAATGTACTAATACCTTTCACAAGCTAAAGTAAAATAAACCGTGAATGCAAAGTTTGGATGAAAAGCAATATAAGAAAAGTAAAGCTAGATTAACAAATGTTGTCCTTTCCTAATAATTTAAGAAATTATCTAGCAACGGTGCTAAAAATAGGAAAAATTCCAAAATACACATGTTTTTTTTAAATTCCCAAAATACAAATGTTTTTTTTTTCAAATTCCCAAAATACACATGTTTGGGCATCACTGCAGTCAACCGCAGTGAATGCATTCACCGAGGCAGACGAAATCGGTGAATGCTTCACCGCGCTTGACGATCGCGGTGAATGTCATACTAACACTGAAACTTCAAACGAATGTAACTTTGCGCTCGGTTATCCGATTGAAGCAATTTTCTTTATTCACCATAAATTTTTAAGATCTTTCAATCTGCAGGCCTTTATCCGGAAAAAATGTCGGTTACTACCCCGAATGAACAATTTTTCTGTTTTTCCAAACTTTGGAAGGCCATAACTTTTTGCTACTCAATCCGATCGTCATAAAGTTTTTTTATTGCGCATAACTTTGTAAGAACTACAACTTTTACTAGGAAAGAATTTTTTACAAAGAGAATATTTTTTAGTATGCCGGATTTTAGGAGTAACTTTGCCTTTACTTTTCAGAAATCCACATACATTCCAAAATTATGGTTATGATCAAAGTTGTAGTTCTTCAAAAGTTATGCGAAATCAAAAAATATTTCATGACATTTGGATTGAGGAGGACAAAGTTATGGTCTTCCAAAGTTGTCAAAATCGAAAAAATTGCTCGTTCGGGGTAGCAAACGAAATTTTTTTGGGATGAAGGCTTCTTGCAGAATGAAAGATCTTGAAAATTTATGTGAAATAAAAAAAATATTCGCTACAAGCGGACAACTGAGCGCATAGTTATGTTCGTTTGAAGTTTCCGTGTTAGGTTAGACATTCACCGCAACCGTCAATTGCGGTGATGCATTCACCGCTTTCGTCTGTCGCAGTAAATGCATCCACTGTGGATGACGACCGCAGTGATGCCCAAACATGTGTATTTTGCGAAATTTTCATAAAACCTGTGTATTTTGCGATTTTTCTCCCAACAAAATATGACTAGCTAAAACTAACAATCCAATCAAAGACCAAGTGAAACCAATGGCTAGGAAGCAGCATAATGGGTCAAGTAATAATTTATTGAATTCTTAGGTTATTGATTGCAATAAATTGATAAAGCAAAAGTAAATTGGTCTAAGTTCACTTGGAAAAAGGTCATTAGGTAGTGAATCCCACTAGTCTTTAGTTCGATTAATGTTTGATAACACCTTAGTTCACTTCACTCAAAGTTCAAATTTTATTATTTGAAATAATATTATTAATAAAAGGAAATAAGGTTAAAAAAACAAAGCTGTAATTACACAGCAGCAACATCAAATGTGGAAACAATGAAATAAGAATATGATTTACATTCAAACAATCCAATGAAATATGCATCAATTGATTATAATAGAGAGTCAAGCTAGCTAGAGCATAAATAAATCTTCAATTCAAAGACATAAGATTAGGGTTCATCATAACTAAATGAAAAGGAAGATTACTATATATAGAGAGAGGTCTATAGTGGCTAGAAAGAACAACATCATGATTGGAGATATCATATTGTAGTCTTCAATTCCGTCTTTTAAGCTTGCCTTCAAGTACCAAAGGTGAGAAATCTCCACTTTGTGCTCCAAAACGCGAAAAAATTACTTCTTTATAGTGAGTTCATCAAGACTATGTTTTCCTTTCTAT